AGCCTGCATGTCTCCCCAGCTGTCAGCCTCCTACGGCAGCACTTGCTGGCCCTCCGTGGGGGGGTGGTATCCCACTAAATTAGTTTTAAAAGTCAAAAGAAAAGGATGGGGTGAACAAGTTGATTTTCATTAAAAGTCTGACCCAGGTTTAGAACAGGGTAGCAGCCCAGTTTCCTGGCAGAACGTGACACACTAAAACTTTTCATTTTTATCGTGCTGACATTATCCTTTCTCTGAAATGAGCAGCTCTGTGCAAAGTCCTGTGTGCATGGGGTTTCAGCATTAATTAAATCACTTCATCGCAAAAGGGACCAAGGGAAACGAATTTCTTCATGCATAAAATAATAAACAAACGTAACATGATCCCTCTCTGCAGTTCCTGGAGCTTCTGCCTCTCCTTGGCTGTGATAACCATGATGAGACCAGGGCAGAGCCTCAGCCTGCGAACGCTGGGGGCAGGTTAGTGCTGAGGGTCACTCTGGTCTGCACCCCCCCCCCAAAAAGAGCACGTAACTGGGGCTGAGCCCCAGCAGGTCAGTGGTTATGGTCAGTCTGCAAATCCGTGGCTCATGCCAGAGTCACCAACAACTGCTGGAGCAGCAAGAGGTGCTGCTGTGGTCTGTGAGGTGGCTGCAGCGGGGGAGCGGGTAGGAGAGCACACTGCCTGAGGCAGGGAGTTTTGCTACCGCATTCGCTTCACTTTTTACCCCAAGGAGAGAAAAAAAAAAGAAAAAAATGCATTTCTATTTCTGAAACTGGCAAAATAGAAATTAAATCCAGGTTTGTGCGTGCCTGAAAGCTTTGTATAGGTGGATGAAAGCCAAATTCCTTTGCCCTCACTCCCAAGCACCCCTGGCAAGACCCCAATGCAATTTTCCCCTTTCCAGGCCGCTTCCCGAGGGGTGGAGTGTCGGGTCATCCAAACCGCTGCGGCAGCTCCGGTTCCAGGGTGCTGTCGGGATCTCTGTAAGGCGAGCCTGCCCGACGTAAGGAACCTGCCTGGCAAACACCCCTTGCCAGCTCCTTATCCCCCAATGCTCCTCTTGCTTACGCTTCACCCAGCTCATGTAAGTTAATAGTGGCATTTAATTTCCGTCGTACCTACCTGCTGCTCTTGGCAAGTTCAGCTGGGAGGGGGGGGGGGGGGGGGGGGGGGGGAAAGCCCAGCCCTTTCTGTGGAGAACATGAAATAGAATGACACCAGGAACATCTTCTGCACACCTGCCAGGGGATGCTCAAGCGTACGTCCCAGCACCCAGCTGTTGGCCATGGAGAGAGTGGGGCACCCCTGCTGCTCAACCCACCCCGTCCTGCCCTGCCAGACTCCAGTGAGGACTGACCTCCTGGGTCTCCTACAAGCTGGTTTTAGGCAGGTCCTCCTCCTTCTGGAGCTTCTCTCCAAGCTCTCCTTGGAGAGGCTTGTGGACTGGATATATCCCCAGGGACGGGCAGAGAAATGCAGGGCATCAGCTCCTTCCTGGTGGTGGCTGCCCAGTGCAGTGAAACAGGGTCTGCAACAAACCCAATTGATGGAGGAAATTTCAATCATTTTCAACACTCCGGCTGCTGCTTGTGCCATGCTGGGTGCCTCAGGAGTGAGTCCTGGGGTTACTGAGCACAGGTCCTCTGTCTTTACGCTGAAGAGCAGGATGATGGTGGCATTGAATGCATGTGCTCTGAATGTGCCCAGTTCCTTGCCAGCATTTCTCTACAGTCACAGCAAACCTTTGGAGTAAAGTGGGCAGTTTGTATACTGGAGTAGAAAAATCTCTCGTTTCTTTGGCACAGAATGAGCTCAAAGAGCCTGTGAGGCTGGAGGACGCTGCCCAGAGCAGCCAAAGCGATGCTTTGTCCTGCTTGGAAATGGTCTTGAAAGGAGCATCCCTGAGTGGTTGTACAACAGCCTCGCTTGTAGCTCCTCTAGCCAAGGCCATGCAAGTTGTTTAGTTCAGGTTTCAGCTCCAAGATGACTGTCGGAGCCCCTTCATCTCCAACATAACAACACTTCAGCCTGCGTCAGGAACAGCTGTGATGCCTGTCAGGCTCACATGGACTCTTACTAAAGCCATCACAAGAGAAACTTGTAACCTGGTAACGGGTTCTCCAAGCCTGCCCTGCATGATGCAGGCAAGCAGATCCTCATGGGACTTAATGACTCGACTGAACTGGGAGAACTCTTTGATCAGCCCAAGGGAGAAATCAGAGGAGAAGCCTTGGGCAGTGGCGCAACCACTATCCAAAGAGACAAAACCAGATTACGCAAGCACCAGCAGCTCAGTGTTTTGAGCAAAAAAAAGGGCTAGATTTGGCATTCTTGAGGCAATCTCATAAAATGAAATCCAATCTGTGACAGAAAACTACCTGTGAAGAAACCAGCATGTCTCAGGGACATGCTGAATCACACCTGTGGCTTTGCAACTCCTCTGAATTCTCCAGCGTACCGGTTTCCTCAAAAAATGAAGAATGACCATGACTGGTAGTGGCTGAGATCTCACTGAAGGGAAGAGTTACAGCTGGGAATGCTGATGTTTAAAGCAGTTTATCAGTCAAGATCAGCTGCAGCACTTCTACTGCACTTCCCTCAGCGTTGGCCACTGCCCCTGATGAACATACCGTATGGAACAGAATGGGTGGATCTTCACGTCTGTGTGCTGCAGTGGGCTGAATGCAGCATCACAACCATAAACATAAGCTATGACTTCAGTAATTAAGCAATTTTTAGGGCACTTGGAGCTGAAAGCTGGCTGGAAGCTGGGCTCTGGGGGTGCTTGGCCCCCTCACAGGAGAGAAGAGCACGATGGTCACTTGAAATCCTGCAGCTCAAGAGCTGGAGCATCCTACAGTCAAGAGTCAAGCTGCAACTGTTTTTTAGAAAATAAATAACTCCAGTGTGGTCAACAACTAAGTAACAGAGAAAAGTTAGAACCCATTCATTACATCTTGTACTGAGCTTATGACCTGAGCTCTGGACATGCTCCAGGCCACATTACCTCTCACTGCTTGCAGGGACAAGAAGCTTATGGTTGTGGTCGGGCTTTGGGCATCTGCCCAACCCTGCCTTCTGCTCCTCAGCTCTCCAGAGGTACAGCTCAGCTTTGGAGCAGCCAGCATCAACGTATCCACGGAGACATCCTTGTGGGGTCTTCAGACAGCTCTGATCAACCTGATAAATACAGCTGAAGTAATTTGCACCTCTGAGGCCATAAAGTGAGTCCTTCTTTTACTTGTGCTTTGGGGGTTTGGAGCCCCTGCCCTCCAAACTTGCATTTTCGAGCCAGGTGTGAATAATGCGATGCTATTTTTAAAAAGTGTAAGGGAAAGCGTGCAGAGGGTGTGATTTAATTTCCTGCAAATAGATTTCTGTACCTACCATGCAGAGACACAACGCAAATGCTTTACAGAGAGACTTTTAAGTAGCTGGCCAAAGAAACAAACGGTGCTGCGCTGCGCAGAGGAGCAGCCAAGGAAACTTCACTTCGGGTGATCAATCCATCTCCTCCCGCTGGAGAGGCGATCATCCGCCCCCAGCCCTCTGTTCACGTACACCCCCTTTGCTCAAGCTCCGAGCATCGATTTACTGAACAGCAGCTGTGACAATTCAGGTATTTCCGTGCGGTGAGCTTGAAGGCTCAGCTGAGCTGTAAGGCAACGGGGACGCCTGGGCCAGCACTACCCCAGCCTGACTCCTGACGGGGTGCTCGGAGCCCGGCAGCAGATGAGAAACGCGCAAGGCGAGCACAAACCGGCACCCTGGAGCCCGAGCGGCCTCATGCCAGAGCTTGCACAGGGTATGAAGATCCACCCATTCTGTTCCATACGGTATGTTCACCAGGGGCAGTGGCCACCGCTGAGGGAAGTGCAGTAGAAGTGCTGCAGCTGATCCTGACTGATAAACTGCTTTAAACGTTACACCTATAATATGCTGGTAAAACAGTTTTTAAAGAACAATTTTATTAAGAATGTCATTCAGATAAATAAGTAAGCTTGCACAGGGGGCCACCGCCCGAAGCCGCGCAGCGACCGGCGGCGGCACGAGCTGCACCTCCCGCCCCTCGCACCCGGGTCCCCACCGCTCCTCTGCCGCGCTGCCAACGTCGGCGGCCACGGTTCGTGCCCACCAGGGTGAGTTTCGAGACGGGCACCCCCCGAGGTGCTTCGCTGTGGTATTTCCACCCAGCTGCTGGGGAGGGGCCTTTGCGTTTCGCTCCGGTGCTCCCCGCCGCCCCCGAAGGGGGGCACGGCCTCGTGGCGATGCGCTCAGGCCGGACACGGTGAAACAGCAGACGTTCACAGCTGCGCAAAACGTTTGCATTAAGCAAATGACCTGCGGTCACAACCGATGAAAGAAGGGCAACACCATGAGGGTTTTTTTTTAGGCCAATTGCTCGTTCCATCGGCGGGGCTGGCAGGCTGCTCCCGCGCCCGCACACAGGGCTGGAGAGGGAAGGAAAAGGGGTTGCAGCAAGTGCGGCGTGCTGGCCCTAGCCAGGCGCTGCAATTTGGCAAAAATACAATGCAACAGCTCCCTGTATTCTGAACAGTCATTTTATCACAGCTTTTATCAACTCCTGCTGTATCTCTGTATTCATCAGAGAACTATTCCATTCTAAGTTCTGTCCTACCCTCGTCAGCCCGCTCTGGGCCGAGCTAGGCCACGAACAGTGACGCGGTGGAAGCTGGAGATGTGTGGCAGCACTTGAAATGAGACCAGGTCCACTGGCACAATGTCTAAATCCCAATTCTGCCAAGTGACTGTTGTGGCTACTTACCCCTGGAGTTTTAGTCTTCTTAGCAAGCAAAACAAGGGGAAAGAGCCTATTAAATACGAATTATTACATTAAAAAAGAACTGATAATCTACAATCATTTATATGCTTGAAACTCTGTTTAAATTTACTCAAAGCGAGTAGTTTTGTTGTGCAGACAGGAACATAAAGCTGTCTATAACTCACTGCCACCTGCTCTCAAGACATTTTTTTTATGAAAAAAACAGCCCATCAATGAGGAAAATGAATCTTTATTTTTTTTTCTCTAAAAGCAGAATCCATCCATGTACATGGTTTTTTGTATGGTTCAGAAGGTGGTTTTACGATGTGAATAGTCACATCACAGAAATAATACAGAGCAACCAGTGAAGGAACAAAGAGCCAGTTTGACAATTACTTTCACCAAGTAGTCCAAACATTATTTTTAACTAATGTTTTTGCCAGAATGGACTTCAGGACAGTATTAAAATCTCACCTACTCAACATAAATACAGAGATAATTGGGGGAAAAGAACTACAAAAAACAATTATTGCTGCTGTATCTGCATTTTTGTTTCCTCGCAGGATGTCCTATAATATGCTGGTAAAACAGTTTTTAAATAACAATTTTATTAAGAATGTCATTCAGATAAATAAGTAAGCAACCAGCCAGCCTAATGCGGTAAATTAGACTTCATCTGAGACCAAAAGAAAAATAAAGCTGTTTAACAAAAAGTGGAGAGTTTTTGTTTTACAAGGTGAAGAGGAGATCGTTACACCTTTGGAACACAAAGGCTGAATGTGCTTAAACATCCAAGCGGGTTTGGTTTGCAGGTGTTCCCAGCGCCCACAAAGTGCCATCCTGGCCCAGTGACCTGTCAGCACCAGTGAGATCTCGCCTCCTTCGGGGAGCAGGCGCTTCCCCAGCTGTGCTCCTCCCGTCCCCAGCCCTCCCGCACCTCCGCACGCCCCAGTTTTAGTCAGGGCTTCTCTAATGCCACCCAAAGTGGCCCCGGCGAGTGCGTGTGCTGAGGTCAGGCGCACGTCTAGGCGCTCAGGACACAGGCCCCCCAACAGCCATGACATCTAAGAGAAGGGATGAGAACTATTGCAATCGTTTCGGTTACAGGGTAGATAGATTAACAAACACTACAAGCAGAAGTTATGACAACTCTTTAAGACCTGAAAATGGAAGCTGGAAAATTATTTGAAGCATGCTCGTAACTATGAACAACACACTGCATTTCATAGTGCCTTTATCCACATCTGCTACCTACTTCACAGGTACCAGTGTCTTGCCTCGCAATGCACTGCAAGGAAAACCCAGCATGATTCACGTGCAAACAGTCATTCCACGTGTGATTAGGTAAGGAGATCACCAGTTTCTGATGGAACCTTAAGATACATGAAATGTATTCTAGAACATCTGAAGATGAAGTCTGAACATCTCTCTTGTTACCTAGCAAAAGGTTAGTTGGAACCATCGTTTAACACAGATGATTTCAGGATTAGTTACATGGTTAGTCTAAACAATGTGCACATACATGTTTAATTTGAACAAAATTCGTAAACTACACTTCTCTAAAATTTACAAAGTATATAAAACACATGATTTTACATTTATAAAACCTCAGCCCTTTTATAAAAAACAAAACAAAACAAGTCCATAGAGTTTTGTTTTAAGTTTAAATCTATTGTTTTTTCTTCTCAGCAGTTTTAGTTCCTATGATAAATAAAAAATATAAACGACACTCCACCATGGCCTTATAATGCAAAGAATAAATTAGCAAGAGTCACACTGTAAATCAAAATAAATAATTTCTAAATTATTTTTATTTTAAAAAATGGTCTCTTTAATTGCACAGTATTTTAAACTTTCAGTAGCAATGAAAAGTCAGTTGGGTATTTTTCTAAATGCTCCAGATAGTATGAAAGCATTGTGTCTCATTTTTCAAGCTTTAAACATCAAAAACACCTTGGTCAAACCATCAACTGATAAAACTGATAAATGTTTTGGTAGTCTCTTACTGTGGAAAGATGCTGCAGTACACCTCAGCCAAGGCATTTAGTTCTCCGGCGCTCACCTTGCTGGGGCAAATGGCCCCAGCTTTCCGTTCCAAGTGAGGTAATCTGGTTTACTCCAGTAGCTTTGATGTTTTTGGAAAAGCATTCACCATTAGCTATGACTTGCACAGCGGATGATCACCAACAGCTCAACAACAGTCCACATATTCCAAAGGTGCAGAAGTCCCTTAAAGGGCTTCACCAGACCGGCACGCCTTCTTTCTGTGGTTTCACATGAACACATCAGGCTTCTGGCTCTCCCCAGAGCTATTCTGCAGTGAAGGATCAAGCTACAATTCAGACATACCAAAGAAAATAGGACAACTGAGAAGATACGATCCTTACCTCAGACTATTAGCAGTAGTCTTAAACACACTTGCCAAGTATATGTGTGTACATATACATATATGTGCACACACACATATTTAAACAACAACAAAACCAACAAAACCATTAATACTGTCATAGCCTGAGCGTATTTAGCTCCAAATTAGGTAACCATGGGACGTATTTAAAAACTCTAAATATTGGCAACACATTGATGTACAGAAAACAGTTGTGGGCAGTTGAATGCCTAATGTAAACGTGCATTCAGAATACTGTGTATCTATATACTAGTACTGCTGTAGTTATAATAGCCTGGGATCGTATCTAAAAATATGGAGTCTCTGCTAAGTATCAGAACAACTCTCAAGTACGGAAGACAAGGGAAAGTGTTGCCCTCTTCTTAGCAGCAGGACAGGCCTAACTTGAAGGTACTTAATCCTTCACTGCAATTCTAGCACTCAGCTGGGGCAAAGACAGTATCACTGAACTACCGTTACTGTTTAAGTAACGTGGGATGTTACAGTTCAGCTATTTGCATCAATGCAACTACACTGACCAGTATCAGTGCATTCATGTTTATTACTGGTGTCCTCTCTAAAGGCTGTTAAATGTACAGACTGATGTCTTCACTGTGGAGGAGCTCACATGCAACTCCTCATTCTAGTACCACAGCAAAACCAAAGGAAATACCAAGGCCAATATTCTGTCCACAGTAAATTTGCTTTACCCAACATCAGAGAGTCTAAGGGGAACTAGCACATCATTGCACAACATTAAAAACCACCATATTACTCCTACTCTTATACTTTTAAAGCATTTTCAGTGCTTGGATACAAAGCACAGAACCTATTACAAGAATTCTCTAGCAAGCAACACACTTTCAGGGATTCAATACTGCGTTAAACGTACACGGCCGCAATCAATACTGATAACCCGGGTCTGGGCACTGCAGCACACAGTCCCTCGCGTCTCCTCGCACTGTTTTAACAACGTGGCTAAGCCTGCTGATCCAATATGCTAGGCCAGACTGCTACAGTTACATGGTAGGAAGCATTCTGATGCTCACGCGACAGGGAAAAAGACAAAACACCTCTATTACATACACGTTTCTGTTCATGCTTAAAGGAAGTCAACTTTCAGGCAGAAGTAAATTCCTACATAAAAAATAAATGTAGAAACCCATTAAAAACACAAATATAACAATTGCATTATTAAAACAGCTGCATCTACACTATGGTGTAGTACTTAAGTGTAATTCAATGTAAAAAAATCTTAGCGTACAACTAAGATGAGACCCATTTCCCAAGTCCAAACCTCAGCGTCAGCACTGCATCGGTATCTCCATTGAAACAGGCTCTACGGGTGGTGCCCGACCAAATCCAGGGAAAAACTGTTGTCGGAGGTGAAGAGGTCCTTTCCCTAAACTGACAACGCAGGACAGATGGTGTAGAGCCCCTCCGGAATTGCCGCGGGGGCAGGCGGCGGCAGATCCCGCGGCACATCAGCGGTGGAAGCTGCACGAGCACTACGTCCTGAATTGGTTTGCTGAACATGGTTCAGATTATTGGATATGTCTATAAGCACAATGCTCTTCAGAAGCATTTACTGTATACCCAAACCCTACTTGCTGCAACACACGGTGTCACACAAGTAGTGAAAACGACTTCGTATTCAAAGGTGCTTGGACATCATTTTCAGGCAGCATTTTATCTTTATTTTAGTGAGTTCCCACTACAAAGGTTTTAGAAGGAAGAAAATGCCAATAGTTTATTTTTTCTTTTTAATATGTGAAATTGAGACAGACACCTAGATAACTAGCTACTTTTACTTGCCTAAGTCTATTCTATGTCTGAAATCTCTAATTTTCAAATTAGGGATAAAATGTTGCCCAAAAGACTAGTTATAGTTACACATTTGTGTCTCTACTAAATCTACAAATCAAAATAGTTTTCAGTTAAAAAGATACAATTTGTATCAACAGTAAAAGGTACTTTCTGGTGTTTCAGGGCCTTACTTTAAATTTCAGCAAGCATACCAAAATTATCAGCAGTAATGGTGTAAACTACTGATTTTTTTTTTTTTTTTTTAACACTGAACATTGTTACAATGGATCGAAACCTAAAACTGTTGGACGTCAGTCACGTGAGTACATCTGACATCAACTGCAAAATCTATTTCTATTTTATATATATATATATATATATATATATATAAAATAAAAGCTTACGAGGTGCTAGTAAAACCCATGACTTAAAACCAGAAATATCCCTTACTAATACTAAAACAGACTTGGTTTGTCTGTCTCTAAGACTACGCTATTTGTGGCAAGAGTCAGGCCTACACGATGCAACAGGCCAAGAACTAACTTCAGGAACACATACGTTATCTTCTCTCCCCGCAACCCTCCCCTCCCCAACCGAAACAGAAAGGAAAAAACAAAGTTTAAGTTACTATTTTGAGCTACAATATCATTACCATAGTGCAGTTAATAAACGTTGCATATCCTCAACACACAAAACCTTTTCAGGCCAGCCTTGATAAATAGCAAGTAAAATCAAACAGTATCTTAAATACAAAACTTGCATTGAGATAATTAAGTTCATTTAAAAACAGGTTAATATTTTATGAAAAGCATATTTTATCCAGTACACTTGTGCAGCAATACAAAGAAAAGACACATAAAACAACGAAATGGGACCCTATGATTTTGAACCCCTTTCTACTGACCAGAAATACACAGAGCTGGGTAACAACAGACAGGAACCGAAACAGGGTGGCCTGGTTTGGGGAGGTTCTGAGCATTCGCAGCTTCTGTTAGGTTCAAAGGGGGCTGCAAATTCTCATCACCTTTGAAAATCAGGCAATAAGGCTTTTACCTTATCCATAAAATAAAAAAGACTTTTTTCTCCTCCTCTGATTGCATCTGATCTTACTAATTGACTGCATCAACAAAACATGTAACTAGTTAAACAAAACAAAGAAAGCAATGAAAAGTGCCACACTATAAATTACCAATATATCGTTACCCATTTCACTATTAACTGGTAACAATTTTTTGTTTAAAAAAATTAAGTCAGTGCTGTAGTAAATCTTTGTTTCCTATAAATAGATGATTATAGCACAAAGAGAGCTCACAAAACAACAAACAAACAAACATATGGTGTTGTAAAAAGTTCAAAAACTTGGCTTGAAAATTGTCTGCCAGATGTAGCAAAATCCTCTTTCTGCAGGTGGTTTTAATACCATGCAGCCCAAGGACAAACATCCAACAAGTTAAAAAAATGAAAACAAAAATCCCATCAACAGGTGACAAGGATAGAAAGTGCTGCATATAAACCCCTGATGCACCAAAGATTATAACCAGAGACCACAGATTTTTTTTTTTTTTTTAATATATATATATATTAATTTAAACTGGAACATTCTCCAGCTGTGAAAATAGCCATTTAAAAATTTTCAAACTAGAACACAAAACATATCTGGTACTTCTGATGCATGGGGCTATACATACAGACTCCATGATACAGTATTTCACATAAACGGATTACTATATAACCTCCTTGCTGAGAAGGAGATCCCAAATGCTATTGTAGCAAACCTCCCTCAGCATTAGAGCTGAGCTGAAAACTACTAGACACCACAAAGATGCATCATCTCTCAATAACCTAGCTGAGATTTTTCCACTAAGATGGCTGCAGCGAGCTGCTGAGCATCTGTCACGTGAGGGTGCTTCTTCATAACCATTCTCACAAGATCAGCAGGGAAGATGTTGCAGAGGTTAATGTAAACCTTCTCCCGGGTGTCTTGGTGCCTTGGAGGGTCTTGAGGGATTCCACAGTAAGGTACTCGCCAGGTCTGGTCCTGCTGCTCAGGTAAGCTTTGGAAGGCAAAGTGCTCGTAACACGGCTGTGTGGGGTTACTTGGCAAGGAGTAGGTCTGGCGGTAGCCATAGGCGTCCAGCCCGTAACTCTGCCTATCCCAGCTTCCAAGCCCATCTTGACCAGAATAAGGCTTTCTGTGTCTTAACGGAGAGTTATCATATAAACGCGAGTCTGAAACGCTGTCTATTCTCGTGGACACGAGGGCTCTCCCCAGATGCATGGTCTTTGAATGTGACGAACTCTGAGATGCAGAGTAGTCATTTGGACAACTAGAACGAGCACCGACTGTGGGATGCTGTAGATGCACAGCCATGTAGGGAACTGGAGGTTTGTGGTGATGCTTTGGTTCTTCGTGACTATAGCTCTGCACTCGTGTGAGAGGCTCGTGGTAGCTCTGTAGGAAGGGCTGAGTGTTAAGGCGGCCATGGGGGTGCATATGTTGGCACTTCATGTTCTCCTCTAGCTGTGGGTCAGGTGAACTCATGTAAGACCGATCGCTGTAACCCACGTAGGAATCACTACTGCCACAGCTAATGCTCCCTTCGCTGCTGCAGTCAGAAGCTACAGAGCTAATCCTGTAATCTGTGTCCAAGGAGAAGCGCCTTTCAGGACTACGTGGACCAGATATACTCAGATTTGAATATGCACTCAGCATAGAGTAATACCCTACATCCACAGGAGACTCACATTTTGGATACTGGTCATAAGGCATTGGCGTTCCGTGATTTTTGGTTGCCATCATCACTGTAGGATACTGTCCCTGTGGTCTCTGATCCTGAGGTGGGAAGTGAACTCCAGATGGAAGGCCGTTAGTTAAAGGTGCAGTACTTTGGGGTTTTGCAGCAGCGGAACTGGGTATACTAACTAAAGAAGGTACAGACCTGGTTTCCAATTTGTTTTTGGTGGGAAGCTTTTCCTCCAAGTCTTGATAGGCTTGAGTCCTTATACTAGGATCCGACTGCCTCTTCGGAGCAGCACGCTTCAGCTCAGAAGTGCCATCATTTTTAGTGCTACAGGGAACGCTATTGCTTTTTACCAGTCCTCCTTCACTTGTAGTTTTGGCAGCTGTGCTTCTAGACATGGCACGAAGTTCATCAGCTACAGATCGCTGAGGCTGATTTCCTCTTTCTGGATGATAGTATTTGCATTTGTGTCCATAGGTACATTTCTTCCCTATTAATACAAATGTAATCAGATAAAAAAAAACTTTGACCAAAATCTGTTAATCATCAAACAATGGAAAAGCCCCTCATCTCAAGTTTTACTGATCATTTGAATGATCTTGGAAATGGTTTTGTGTGACACTGGGTGAGATCTAAGATCTCTGGTATTGTGGGGAAAAACAAGGCAGTGGTGGTGTGCTGCAGCTAGTGATCTAGGAATGCAGACCAACGCTACCAGCCACATTTTGAGCTGAACACGACAGTGTCAGTGTCTCTGTATACATCTGCTGCATCGGGCCAAGGAGATACACAGGCAGAAAGTCCCACAGAGCTGCAAGACCACCAGGTTTCAGCCCAGTCAAGATGGTGGTGTGCCTGTAGGGATGCTTTGCAGCTAAACTTCAGACAGCTCAATACATTTTCTGGAAGAAATCTTAGATGCCTTTTGAGCAAATCATGTTAGAAAAGGGCTTTCTAGAGCCTGTAGAATTTAGGTGCTGTTTTGGAACTATTCCTATGAATGATTAATAAAGTTGCTCCTTTACTTCAACTAGCAGATAGAAATGTTCTCTAACTAGCACATTAAAAAAATCTCTTCAGTTTCCACCATCACCTCAGCATTTCAAACATGCTCAGGCTAAGACAACAATGTAAAAACCTCTGTTAAAAAGCTTTTATTTTTGGCAGTGTTAAAATAAAGCAGAAGCTTGGTCCCTAGTCCCAGCAGTACAGAAAACTGTTGAGTTAAATCAAATTACCGTATGGACAGGGTTGCTTCTTATGTTCTGGCACAATAGGCTTCTTCCTAAGAAAATTGTCCAGACTTGGACCATGGCGACCAAGAGGATCATCAGGAGGCATAAATCTATAAAGCAAAAAAAAAAAAAAACAACCAAAAAAACGTATTATGGAAGCAAACAAGCCTTTCCACAATCCTCATGCAATGACTGAGAGCCTCATGACTGTGTCCTGGACCATAACCTGCCAGGCTGACACTTTTAAGCCTGGGTACTTTGAGAGCTGTTTTGAAAGGCGACTTTTCTGCTGCAGGTACTGCCCAAGAGATGAGTCATGGAAATAGACTGGACAGCCCCAGTCTGCTTCAGACAACTTTAGTCTAGCTCAGCTGACTGCTCTGTGGCAAAGCAGGGCTGCACACAACCCACAGTAAATCAAAGTAAGGGCAGCAATACAGGGCAGCAATTTCTTAAAATGCCACAGCTAACTTCACAAAACTGTGCTGATTGTCTAGGACTCTTGCATCTGTATTTAGGCACTGAAATACAAGTGTCTGCTTGGCAGAGTACTGAGTCCCTCCCACTATAAGAAGCCACCAGTGGTAAGTGCAGTTGATCTGTATGCTGGGGTATGAAGATACCACAGATGGATCTAAGCACACAGTTGAACTAGAGACCTCCTGAGGTTCGTTCCAACATGAGTTTTAATATGACTCCAGGATTTAGGAGTCTAACCACAGGCAATCAAAAATTCTGGCTTAGTGTATCAAGAGAATTGGAATATTATAACATAGCATACATCAAATATAGCATATACATTAGCATACACCAAAAGAGGAAAAAACTAGCATAAAAAGATATAAAGATAGTTATAAAAATGCTCTAGAAGCAAAAACCAGAATTCAAGTACTTTTAATCAGAAGACCAGGTCTATGATCGACTATTCCTCCTGTTTTCCTACAAATTTCCCACAAATGATTTAGGATATAGGTTAAGAAATTCATACAAGTCTTCAAACTGTCTTTTCCTCAATTATTTTAGTGGCACATACAAAGATAGAGTGACTTACTTGTCATTAACAAATGAATACATCAGCAAGCGTTCATCTATGAACTTCTTCCATTCAGGCTTTTCATTAGCTAGATCCCTGTAGTTATCATTAGAAACAATGATGCCATCTGACTCAAAGGCCAACTTCACTATAAATCGGTCATCGTAGCATACCACCCTTCTCCCTTGCACTCGGCGGGACGGTGTGAACACAAGAATCTTCTCCTTTTCTAATTTACGCAAGATTTCTTGATCTACAAGGAATAAGAATCAAAGGTTAAGAAAGAGAGGAAAGAAAAAGATCTTTGCTTAATCTTCGTGGACATTAGATTTGAGGAAGAAAATCCAGGCATTTAGGACTAAACATGTCTTAAATGGTTATAGTCCAGCAGAAGGTGTCTGATATATGATACTTGAAGTTACAGTCTGCAGTCAACTGGGCAATGCTTTCAAAAAAACCCCACAAACAAATCAAAACCTCCTGCTCCACATCATTTCTCTAAGACTAACACAGAGGACCTTGTTCACGTTGCTGTGGTTCAAAAGAAACAGTACTTATCAAAATGGTTGTGAAAAACTCCTCTGGTTGAAGAGGTGGTTTTAAACATTACTGAATGTTTCAGTGAATAGGAGGGCTACACCCAAGTACAGCCAAGGGTTTCCTCTAACTGAACTCCTTGGTAAAGACAGACCTCTTCCATCTCTTTGTTGTACCCAGCAAGAAACACCTTTTGAAATAATTCCAGTAGCTCATGTTAATGGGTCTGTCTCACTAAAGTTTCTGCTTAGCGAGAGAAGAGATTACTACTAGCACCCACAAGGACTAGAAAACCCACGTTCTGTACAAACACTCAGGCTCTTCACAAACACTAACAGCATCTCCTAGAAAGTTCTCTGATGTCATCTGGTAGCCAGCAGCGAATGTGGTTTTGGTTTTGTTTGTTTGTTTTTTTTTTTTTTGTTTGTTTGTTTGTTTGTTTTTTGTTTTTTTTTTTTGGTTGTTTTTTTTTTTTTTTTGTTATTGTTATTTTTACCTCTGGTAGTAGTTCAGAATGTCTTTCCTTGAAGGGTTTACAAATTTATATATAAGGTCTTATCAAATCCAAACAGACTTCTCTTTCCTCATGCTAGATAAGCATGTTTAACATTTTATGTAATTCCTTCTTGTTCTACAGAGTCTGTCAATCACCTGTCCAAAAACATTTTCTCTTTCTCTGTGTGGAACCTGGAGATCCCAAGGAGCTTTGAAAGATGGGCTCAGGCTACTACAGAGGTTGTACTTAGCACTGGGGCACATACCCCTTCTGTTGATTCTCCTAGCTATCACTCTCCTCAGAGCAGATAAGCTATTAAAGAAAAATAAACAAAAAGCTAGGCAACATCTAAAATGGCAGAAGATGCTTGCACAGTAAGTGTGAGTCACAGCTCTTAATAATGGTTAAGATCTCAAATAACTCAACTGTTTTGTAGCACAAGAAACTTGACAGGGAACGTGTTCCATCTAGAAAAAAAAAAAAGACCCCAACAGGAAGAAATACAGCATTAACATTACATATAAGCAATATATTTGATAAAAGCATTTATCTGCTTAGTAGAAAGCACACAAGATTTTAAACCAAATCCAACCTTTTTGTATTCCCCTTTGCCTGTGGTAAATGATGAGTAAGAGTGTGATGGAAGGCAATTTTTTTCCCGCACTAAGAAAGAATAAAAAAAATCTGCCATGTGATGAATGGCAGGTAATAGTAAGAAAGATGCAGCTGTTGTTGAGCCCAAGAAGTTTCTCATGAATACTGACAGTCTAGAACCATCCTCACATTAGTCATCTCAAGACCTTCAAAATTTCAGGTGGCCGCATATTTCAGGTGTGTGTCTCTGGAAATGGAGTGTCAGAACGTGTTTGACAAGACTGGTAGCAAGCAGGCTCCCTGCATCTTGATAAGAAAAAGAACCTCTGTTTTACAGAAGATACAATAACCTGCTTTGATCTTCCTCCCATTTTCATGGTCCATGATGACACATAGCAAACTGATTTTTCATTGCTAGACAACTGATCAATTTTAAGTCTTGCTACTTTTTTGAAACTCCTCTGGGGACTTCTAGGCCTACCCACAGCTCTAGTGGATGTCACAATTTATTTCTAAATAGCCGAATCTTTATTGCTTAGCCAATGCTCTTCTCATACCTCAAACACCTAGTACAGTGAAAGAGAAAGGCTTCAAGAGAAAAGACTCCACACTGCCTGTGATGAGAACAACATCTTTCCAAATATTTTCTTGCATCAACGTGATATATTCTAGTAGCAATCAAGTAAATGAAGTGTTGTGAAGATCTTTCCAGATATTTGAAAATGCATGTGGTAATCAAAACTTGCTTCCATAGTCTTTTAGAAGCCATAGCTATTACTCCCAAAAGCTTCCTCCCTTTAAAGGTAGCCCTGTTTAAAGAAAAAAACCCAATCCCCTCTCCCCCTCAAATTCTAGTGGGTTTTTTAACCCCAAATTCTCCTCTTCAACTTTAGGGCAGAGGGATGACAACTCTTCAGCCTTCACACAGAATCAATTAGTTTGATCAAGAAGTAAATACCTCTGCACCAAATTTTTTTTCTAGATAAACACGTCCAAAATTAAAATTTTCAAAAGCTGTCTCATTTATTAATAGTAACGATGAAAAGGGGAACCATTCCCTCTCTGTCAGGATAATTCCCGTTACCCCAAGCATGGGCAGTGACTCACTGCAGGTGACTGGCAGACAGGACAGCCTGGCAGAATTTGCTCACCACAAGAAAGATCACCCAGTGAATCACTAACTTCAAATGTCTCTGCTGCCAATGCTATATGGGCATAACAGATTTAAAAAATGACAATTATGTTCTTCAAGAAATAAGTAGCAACGTTAATTGAAAATTTATCAGGCCAGCAGAAAAGGAGGAGTTGGAGAGGGCATTGCTTTGTCTTTTTCCTTCCTGAAGACCTCAATGAAGTTACTACTGCCAAATATACTTTCTATTGTAGTCTTTTATTTCTAAAGATCTGTTCATTTGAGCAGTAGCACTCATGATGTGCAAAGCATCAAACAAACCAGAGAAGGTGGAACAGAGCTTACCTGTGATAAGAGCATCAGGTCTCGACTGTTCTTTCCTCCATGCTGGCACAAACACAGTAACATCCTTGTGGCCTCTTTCCAAAAACCAGTCTACCGCCAGTTTGATTCCTCGACAAGAAAACACTTCTTTGTTCCCATGGCTGAAACACACAGTAAAATTCCTTATTATATGACTTTGCTTTTCTATGACTGTAAATGGAGCACAGTGAAACACAGATCTCAAAGCTGTGCTCTTCACTTGCTCTGTGGTTTCTAAAGGTAGCTGGGAATCAGTCTGAGCCTTGTTCAAGCATTGCCATCACTTACAAAATGGTGTGGGAGAAGGATACTAAATCTGCCAAACAATTTTAGCATGTGTATACAGATTCAACAAGTACGGAAAAATATAAGCATGGAGTGTTAAAAATCCTCATAGCCCATCCAAAAGTACAGGGTGTAACAGGCACCACGGAGACTTAATAAGGGACAGCAGGAAGCCTGAAATACTGACATGAAAGAGTACAATAGTTGAGGAAATGCCAGCAGATGAGTACTGAGCACCCGTGTGCATGGTGGTGGGGGAAGGGAGAGCAGATCCCTGCTGCAGGAGCTCTGCCGGGTCCCATCTGAACAGGGAATGAGAGAGAAGGTCTCCAAGCCCAAGGGGATGACAGGTACTCTACTCTGCAGGACAGGTTAGGTGAACTGGAGAGGCTGTCCAAAATCAACACGGCAAAACTAAGAATTTGCTTAGTACTGCATTCAAAAGGAGAAATTAATTGTATATTTAAAAAGCTGTGGTGAGACAGTTAAGCAGAAACCAATCAGACACAAGCAAAACAAAAGATGTGCTTCTGTTGTGCAATAACTGTTTAAGGTAAGGCAAGAGACGCAATTAGGTAATTTTCTAAAGGCAAATGAGTCCGCAGCCAACTTCTACATCCAGTTTTGGGCATGACATATTACAAAAGACACAGATGAACTGGAAAGAATCCAAAAAAGTGAACTAAGACCTATGGGGAAAGACTAGGGGAAGTGCATTTAGTTAATCCAGAGAAAAAAAGCAGCCTGTGGATGAACAAAACAATATGCAACATATAGGAGGTAATTAAAATAGAGGACAGTGATCAACCATTGGGTGTCCACGGAAAAATCTTGGTACCCAACTCCACAGCAGAGGCAAAGGAAATGAGGGAACTCCGGGACTGGAGGAGGAGGAGGTGCTCCACGAGGAGCAGGTACATCCCCAGAGGGACAGGCAGCCTCTGGAGAATAGGAAAAGTGCAAGAACGAGCAGCAGAGAAAAACTGTGATGTCCTGACCCCAACCCCCTGCACCCCTCACTGCCTCTCCAAAGGGACTGAGTGTCACCTGCAGCGTGACAATGGTGTAGGAGAGGCGTCTGGAGAGAGGCTGCCATGAGGAAGCAGGGAAGACAGGTGTTTGTAGTGAAGCAAGCCTGGGAAAAGGAGAGATGTCTTCCTAGGTATTTTACTGTTTGTCTTTTTTATTTCCCAATACCTGAATCAGTAACTAAATATGTATGTTAACTGGCTATAAATTAAATTCAGTTCCCTGAGCTGAGTGTTTGGCATGCAACAGTACTTGGTGGGCCATTTTCCTGTCATTATTCTGATCCATGAGTTTTCTTGCTTCTGTTCCTCCCGTTTTCTCCCCTGTTCTGCTGGTGGGGGGAGCTGAGGCTGACCCACCATAGTCCCACTGGGTTAGGACAGAAAAGTCCTTAACTAGCATAAGGAACAGTTATGCCATACATTAGAAAAAGCTTTCTAACTGATCAATGGGACAGTCTGCTCACGGATTTTGGGATCCCCTCATCAGATAGTTCACAGAACAAGTCAGACAGCACTTCTGGGGCCAGTCTGGGTTCTCCATGCACAGGAAGAGACGAGCAAGTTTTGTAAGGTCTCTCCCAACCCCACAGCATTACAGAGCAGAAGAAACACAGGGGCACAGCAGCAAGCCGTCACCTTTCACTTGGCTGGCTTGTCATGTATATCAGTTATTCCACAATCTGGCTTCCAGAAAGGTAAAAGATAATTCACTGTGGAATGATTTGAGAAGGAGACAATATGATGATGGATAGCCACAGCGATCCTAAAAGTTCCTCCTACTTGCATGCTTTGAGGTAAATAAAACCACCAAGATGTTAATTACAAACTTTTCTTTTTAGTAGGACCACTTAGAAGTCCAGCTTTCTAAAACACGGCACTGCTGTATGTGAGTAACTGTGCAATGGATGAAATGTCACAGTAAAAGTGAGAAAAATTTTGAGATCATGTCCAGATTCCAGAAGCCGAGGAAGGAGGTGGCATACATGTTCACCTGTGTTTAGTTGTTGAGAGAGAACAAGTCAAGGCTAACACCTCTCACAAAGCACCCTTCTCAGCAGAGGCTGTGTTGAAGGTCACAGGCCTCAAACTAAAGAAAAAAACAAAAAAAAAGGAGAAAAAAAAAAAAGAATAAATGCTCACTACCATTATCTGGATTTAAGTGAGAAACTGTACTACTTCCTCTTCTAATGACGCTGAAGACAGGACCTGGAAACATAATCATATATGAAGACATTGCAATTATTTCTGGCCATAATAATCAAAGTTTGTAAATTTTTGCTGCCACAGGGTACTCCAAGGATAGTTTAAGTCCATCTTCTGTGCTTATAGGGATATACTAGGAACACTGTCAGGAGCAAGACATCTATGTATGGCAATATCCTGTTTAGCTGCGGATATAGGCCGCCGCAATAACATATTCCCTGGTTTGTATGACAATATCATATACTACACTATTACATTGTAATAACACTGTAATAATAAAAAATACAGCACTATTTTTTTCTATGCTTTGTTTTATACTATACAATTATTCTTGTGCTTGTTTGGCTGAAATAGTAGTATCTTTGTGTATTTCGTAACTTCCCAGGAATGGGAAACCAAACCACACGCAGATATGTCACATTAAAAATGCACATGCTCACATGCATATTAAAAATGGCCAACCATATTTGCAGCCATGGTAAGTCTAATTACATCTCCCTGTGACAACACAAAACCAGGGCACTTGGTTCACATTTAGTACCCAGTGGGCAGCCATAACACCTCCTTTGCAAAGCCTGACACAAGAAGTTACTGTTCATGCTATCAGCAGGTCATGTGCAACCATAAACATACTGCAATCCATTTTAAAACACTCAGGAAGGGCTTGTTCCAGCTACTGAATTCCAGTGAAATCACGGTACTGTTATTACTCTAAACAATCTCCATGGTTTCAAATGGATAAAACCACTTTTCACTCCTGACAGCGAACAAGCGTTTTGTTAGACTACCTTTTAGTAACAGTATGTTTCTTCCCGTAAGTCTGAGAGATCATTTCTGGAATGAAATCTTGGCCTCTCTGAAAGAAGTGGATGTTCTTGCCTATTGCTTTCCATCAGGTTGGAATTCAAGCCATGCTTTTAAAGGCAGGAGGAGGACTAGGCAGTTCAGCTCATTAGTTTTCTCTTGCCTAATACAGACTATTAAAAATTCTTTCATCCAGAACATAAATTTTAAATAAACTCTACGGAACAGAAATGGGAAATGCATTACAATGCATATGAGCTTTTTTGCATTGCTGAGCAAGTGGATTTATAGCTGGTATAAATCTTCACAATTTTTTCCACTCCTTTTCAGACATGTGCCTAAGCTGGTATCTGAGTGGATACAAATTCCAAAAAATTTAAATATTTAGTGATAAAGTCTGTGAAAAAGATGTGCAATTAAAATTTGTTCTTTTCTTCTATTCTGTTGTCATGCAGATTTGATGCTCTCTTTTTTGTGATCTTTGTGCTTCATCAGCTTTATAATACATCATATGGTGAAAAGGCTGAAATCCTGCTGCTTCTTCTGACTTTTAGAACTAATCAGAAGGAAAAAAGAGGAGAAATGTTTGTATTCCTTTGTCAAGAAACTTTCTTTTAAAAATCTCTTCCTAATTACTAGAAGTACATGAAAACTCAGAGCAGTCAGGATGACAGCTGTAGCCCTGGGTGAGGCATTGGCGTATACTGCTTTGGTTCTGCTTGCTGACTATGTTTAATCTACCACTCTTAGCTGAAGGAAGATAAAGTATATTCCTTAAGAAGTATCTATTTCTCTTTCATACCATGCATGAAAGATTCTTTTTATCACCACTTGTATATTTGGCCTGCTGATTGCTGTGGTTTTAAGAGAAAATAAAAGTGTAACACTTCCAATCAAGCATTTTTTAGGCTAGGAGAGTTAGTAGAAAGTGGTAAAACATCTGATGAGAACATTTTAATGTTCCCTGTTACCTTCCTAGTCCCCAAATTAGATTTTCAAGTGACTGTCTTGAAAAGAGTTGTGGTATACACTCCTAAAACACTGACTACTTAGAACAGTTGCAATGCTTCTGGCATGCTCTAATTCAATATTCAAACAAACACAGACCTCTCAGGTTTTGAAAGCTACAGAAAACATACATGTTGATGACAAGACACATTACAGCTGAGGTCTACAATAATGTCTGTTGTAATAAACACACGGGTTTTTATACAGCTGAAATCTGGAAACATCAACATACTTCCCATGTAAAAACGTATTGATTAAAAGCAAGAACAAGAAAACTAAAACACAGATCTGCCTGGTAAATTTGGAGAGTTATCAAACTCTTTTCTTCTATCATGTCACAGGAGGAAAACAGTGTTCAGTCCATAGCACAGAGAGAGAAGAATTTCCACCCTGTATCATATTAGTGACTCATTAGCCTGGCAGCCTGGTTTTGTCACTAGACTCATCCCTTTATTTTTTTTTTAAAGCTCTTCTAACTTCCTACATCACAGAAATAATTTGTCCCAAAGCATTACTCAGTAACCCAGGCCTTCTACTGGTCCTGTATTTGTTCCTTATATATGCATATTTTGGTGCCAACACAAAGCAGATGAAACAGTTCCCAAATGTTTTTTTACTCAAATGCTTTGAGGTCTTTGAAGGAAAAAAATCCTTGGAAGCTGTAAAATCTTTCAAAACATTTTTCACCAGTAGGGCTTCCAACACTGGGGCTCTCTATGGAGCGGTTACCAGCCAGGCATGCATGTGAGTGTCTGACCAAGCAAGTCACGCACTCAGCAGTTGGGTCAAAG